ATTCACCGGCGACTTAACAACAGCACAACAAAACTAATGTAATTGTAATATTTAACTGCGCAAATTGATAGTGATAATTTTCAATATTAAACTTGATTATAAATGATTGATAACATTTGTGCTAATGAATGGATTTGAGATTGATATGCCATTGCAATGTACATTTATCAAAAAGGAGTAAATTATAGATGATATATCAGAATTTTAGTATTAACATGTTTTTATTAAGGTCTAATTAACTAATAAATTTTGAATATTGAATGCTCACTGTTAATTATTGATAAATATTGATATGCATCACTTTTTTTAATTTATAGCATCTGCACAAAATGAACTGGTACAATTTTCATAGCTTAAAAACTGCTATAATTTCTATAGCTTAAATTATTTTGTGCACAAAACCTGGTACAATTTCCAAACTTAAAAACTGGTACAATTAATTTTTTTTTTGTTTTGAAATTTAAATTACCGCTTTTAAAATATCCACTGCTTCTTTGGAAAGCCATACAGGATAGAGGACATCATCGTGTAAGATAGCTTCAAATAGTTCATCTTCATTATCAGCTTCAAATGGCGGTTGTCCAGCCATCATTTCATACATAAAAACACCTAACGCCCACCAATCTACCGAAATACTGTACTCCATTTCTTCCAATATCTAAATAACATACTGTATGCTATTTGAATGTAAGAATGGCATTTTCACCTTTTTTTTTTTGTTTGAAATTGATAAAATCACGTATAGCTGATATCAAATTGATTCAATATAATATATATCATAGTTGCAAATATTCCATTCTTATTACTTGTAAATGTGCATTTCGATAAATTAGATTCATGTAAATTAAATATATTCATAAAGAAACACATCTGATGATGACTTAGTATGAGAAAAATTAGAAAGAAATATTAAAATTTTGCTAATAAACAAAATTACCCCAAATATTTATGATCAATTTATGATTGATGATTTTTAACTTATGATTTATGATCGCTGACCTCTGGTGCAATGTAATCCGGTGTACCACAGAATGTTGAAGTTAGCTTAGAATTAGTAATGCCTTCTTTACACATTCCAAAATCCGCTAAACGGCAGTGTCCCTCAGCATCCAGAAGAACATTATCAAGTTTAAGATCACTGAAAAATTTCGTACATTACAATAGGAAATTGACAAAAAATTTTCATCTAATCATATTAGCATTAACTGCAAATAAATAAAAATATGATGTTAAATTAAGACAAAACCGAATAAATTAATCATATTAATAATTAATTTTGCAACTATTATTACATCAAATATTGATATACACTCATCATATTTATTAATAAAATTTGAAGGAACATTGCTAATTTATTTGAACAAATTAATACGGATAGTTTTTTTTATAGCCATTTAAACAAATTAATAGCTTTTTTATGAATGCTAATTTATTTAAACAAAATTAATACGGCTAACCGCTAACCGATAAATGACAGCATTACGATGCAAGAATTGTAATGCGCAGGTAACTTCGGCAGCATAAAAACGAGCGCGTGGTTCATCAAATTTTCGTGCCCTTTGTATTTGAAACATTAAATCACCACCATTTACATATTCCATCACAAAAAATAATCGATCCTAAAACAAAAAAAAATTTCAATAAAAAAGAGAAA